GCGTTTAACAAAACATTCAGAAGCAGAAGAATTCAACAGTTTCTTATATTGCCTTGATCTCTTGGTATGTGCAGATGCCGCCGTTATTCCTCAGGACTTTTACAACTACAGCGTGGATATGAGGGAAACAACCCAAGCCCATCTCGCTTGCAGCTGCACACCTCAGTGCGCATAACAACAATTACTCTGTCACTTTGTCTCAAAGTTCTCAATGTAATGTTCAATAAAGTCGCATCGCAAAATGATTTTCATGCTGTGGAGTCATCAATTTTCATGAATTTTCACGAGTCAATAGGCTGTTTGTACGGCCTCGAGGTCCGGGGCACAGGCAAACAAGATTGATCATAAAAAACAAGGTACAAATATAAAGATACCCCAGAACAGTCTGAAAAATATACTTCCCATATTTTGAAAAAGAATACAAAGGCTATTAATGGCAACAGCAACAACTACTCTCGATCTAAGACTGGAATCAGGTGGCACTTAATTTTCCAAGTAACTTTCCAAGTACAATTATTTCATTGTTTTGAGTTATTCATTAGGCAGATGCATTTGAACATTAGATATGCAAATACGACCGGTAGTGTATTGACACTTGCACTTTTAAACAATTCACATGCACAACCAGTCCAACTACGAGTATTAAGTAATAATCTCAGGGCATCATTCTGGTTTATTTTCTGTAGGCCACACAACTACTAAGAACATTTAAGATGAATATAAATAAATTTCTCCTGTAAAATAACTTCTACTAATCAGTGACCATCTCTGGATGCAAAAAGCCAAATTCAACAAGTTGTTCATGACATAAGCCAGCAGTTTTATTATTTTCATCTTGTCCACTTTGCACAAATTCTAATAAGTTAACATGGTAGAAAAAAAGCTGACATTGGTTTGTTTAATCACCTCGTGATTGCTGCAACTCTTTCACCAGACCTGCTGAAATGTCACATCATCACTGGTCACCCTGACCATCCAGAACAATGACAACACAACAAACTCCCAGCGTGTCCTTGTGTGAAACATGTCAACAAAGTTGGGAAGAGGCCCCAAAAATGTCAAATAAATAACAGTACACAAAACACATGGTTCGGTTTATGTGGTCATAGTTTTTTGGTACACGTTGACTGTTATTCAAATCAATGATAGGTAGTCAGGTTGAAACTGAAACAAAAGACAGGCTGAGGTTAAACGTAGGTGAGATTCTGGCTGTGAGATCAGAGGAGATATTCGTTCGAATGTGCTTTTCATTTTTTTTTGGCAAACAAAGTTCTCTTTTACAAATGCCTAAAACAAATACAGTAACTATTCAATGTCATAACTGTACAGTGGAATCTTTTGTGCACTCTGAGCACAAAAAGCCTATCAAAAAAATTATACCAAAAGCCAAATTAGCCAAAAGTATTTCTTTTAACAAAGACTTTTTAAGTAAAATAAACTAATAAATAAATAAACTGAAGCGCCAAACATCTGAAAGCAAACCAAATCAGCACAACATTAATTTCCTCCCTTTGTGGTGACTTGAAGCAGCGAGTCTTGTTTTCTGTCGGGCATGGCCGCTTGATTTGGGAAAACAAAGACCGCAGCCTGGCTCATTGCCACGATTGTATACACTAAACACCCCAAAAGTTCACATCCAAATTTAAAAAGGTTTTGCATTGTTAGGGAATTAAATGACTGAGGTACAGAAAATAAATTGATCACACCTAAAATTTAGGGAAGATTTGAATGAGGCAAAATGCTTTTTCTCTCAAATATATTGTTATAATCATTTGTTTCAGATGTACTGTAATTATTTTCTGTATAAAAATTTATTCGGTGTTCAAAAAGTCTTTTTTCAAACTTGAGTCTTGAAAAAGAAGGGGTCGTCTTATAATCAGGGCCGTCTTATATTCGGGCCAATACGGTACTCACCAAGTGCAAAACCAAGGTCCATAGGGGTCTACTGTATCGTTCACCGAATGGTTCCAAGTTTTACTCGCCCCTCCGGCCATCATATAAGAACAGGAAAGCTTGTTGGCCCGTGGCTGTTTGTTTTTTTTGAAATAGGCATATGGGGAAACACATTTCATACAGAAGTGTTTCAAAAATTTGTCTGCATTGAAATAGAAAAATTCACATTTCAGGTGTGAACACTCATCTCATAATCATCAGACAAAAAAAGGTTACTATCATATATGTCTACTGTGTCTCTAAACACAAAAAAAGAACATTCATTCGAATGACACCCATAACCAATGAGCCTTACATGGTTCTTTCTTGTACTGAACACCCCCAGGGCTCTAATATGATAGCCAAACAGTACAAGAGAAAACATTTTCCACAAAATCTCGATAGAAAACATCTGAATGAAAACAAAATGGCCACAACTGACCATATCATACAAAATACCTCCAACATCCATCCATCTTCAATTGCTTTTATCCTCCCTCGGGTCATGGGTCCCAAAAATCCTGAAGTCTCAATACTTTGGAATGCACTGTAGCTCAGTGCATGGACATCGGCCTTTATTCTCAGATAGAGACGTTGTTCCGTGTGAGCGTGAGGCTGCTGTGGTCCCCGCCGCTAATCCACCATTTGTGCTGCGCTGCCAAGAAGCTGGCATCACCCGCATCTTCGCTCCTCTTTGGTTTGGTGGAGCTGAAAATCACAACATCACCCACATAGGGAAATTCTACAGCCAACATGAAAAATCACTACCATAACACAGGTAAAAACATGTACCTGTTTTCACAGATGATGCTTAATGTGTGAAGCAGGTCCGATGTGGAGGATGATACACTTGGTGCACATCCAGGGGTGGGAGAGGTGACGGCCCTTTCAGGAAGCGATGCTCTACTGGGCTCTTTTTCAGCTACTGCAGAGATCAAGAAACAATATTGACCCTCACTAGGAAATTGCTTTATTGATCCCCGTTGAGAAAGTGGGCAGAACTGTGGTGACAATCAAATTAAATAATCAATGTGTGATTGTGAGCCGGAATGGTTGCGTGCCCCGCGATTGGCAAGCAACCAGTTCAGGGGTGTCCCCCACCTGCTGCCCGAAGACAGCTGGGATGAACTCCAGAGGATGAGCTGATTAGAAAATGGATGATGTCTTATACTGCCCCCTGGTGGCCAAAGGGCGCGCACCAGAATGATCAGTACAATGTGCAATGAAAGAGGAAAAAAGTCACTCACGTGTCTGAAAGGCACAGTGCGACTGTGGTTTCTTGGAGTCGGCAAAAGGGCTCGAGTTTAAAAACTGGTGTTTGAGCCACGTGGCGCGTTCTTCCTCAAAGGTCTTTCTCTGAAAGTACAAGATTAATAAGCAGCGTGATCAGCACAATACAACATCAACATGCATTTTGGTGGGCCCTTGATGGCGTTGGATTTCACAATCACCTCTTCACTCAGTCGGATTGCTGCCTCTGTGAAGTTCCTCCTCTCCCTCTCAAAACTCTTCCTCTGGCCCTCGAGGGTCTTCCACTCGTCTCGGAGACAATCTTTCTCCTGGAACATGTGGCAATCGGCCAGCATGGCGGACGTCTCCTCTTCACACTGAGCGCTCAGTTTCTGCTACCAGAGGAAAAGGGGGGCAAAAAGGCCACAGGACATTTACAGACATTATTTGACAGTCCTGCAACACACTGACACAATGAAATATTGTTTCTTACCTGCAGGAGGTGTTGCTGTTTCTGAATATAGTCTTTACACTGCCGGGCCTCGAGTCTTAGTTTGCCCATTTCCTTGGATGTGTCTTGGGGAACATTCTCAGTGTCTTCGCTGTCATCTGTCGAAGTCAACGACACACAAAGATCTTCACTTGTGCTGCTTGATTTCTTTGACCTCTAGTTTAATTCATCTTGGAAAATTCCATTTCCAACTTTGAGGGAACAGTTCAGGCCAGAGAAGACTACTTTCTTGTCCAACCAAAATATTGTCCCTCCTAGATGAACTGAACCCCCAAAAATCCTCGAGAGAACAATCTCTTTAAGTTTCCAGTATGTATAAATCTAAGTGTATGTTTTAAAAATCACTGACCTCATTTACTGCCAACCCTCCTAGTTACAGTACATATTTGGCATCTATAGCTGGCTATGCTAGTGAATGGTTAATAAGCCTGAAAATGCCACTCTCAATGTATTCTAATGATTACCAAATATAATGAATCGCATTATAAATTCAGTTGAAAACGTGAAGAGTTTGACTACCTCGGCTATCCAGTCTCTCAACGTGGGTCTTCAATTTTTTCAGCTGACGCCGAACACCGTTGGTCAACTTCTCCCGAGCGTGAACACTAAACAGCTCTACACTCTCCTTACAAGAATCAATCCCTTCTTCTTCCTCATCCGAGTCCACCTGTACCCCCCAAAAAAAGCAGCAGAAGGACCGTCAGCAAACGAAGCAGCAGCAGCAGCAGCAGCAGCAGACGCAGCAGGGTTGCTAAGAGCAGCTCTGCCTCCAGTTTGGAATCTCTCTTTAGCGCCAGCTCTCGTTCCTCCCGTTCCAGTCGTCGCACTTCAAAGGTAAAAACGTGTTAAAAACAGACTTTTTGGTTTGAGTGGACAACTGTGGAATTTCTGAATTGTTTTCATCTTTTCCTGATAGCGGGTTAACAAGCGCACCTTCCAGCAAAACCACAAGATGGTAAGTGAGCACGGTGCATGGGCACAATGATGAAGATCCAGATGTAATTCTCACCATCTTATGTTATTGCAGTTCCACGCTGGCTCGTCGTCTCAAAAGAGCAGAAGCAGTGCCTCAAGTTTCGAGGCCATCTACAACAAGGTGAAACTTTTGAAGCATGATGAGCATTCACACCTCAAATCCTTTGGCTAAATATTGTGGTTTTTGTTTGATTTTCTTCTCAGAACAAATTCCTTGGCACTGAAAATGCTCCTGCCTTTGCTGTCATCCTGCAAGCTGTGAGGACCGATGGCAAGCTCCAGGGATACCAAATCACTGGCTACGCAGACAAGACTAATGCTCGACTTCAGCTAATCCTGGCTGCCCTGGCTGCTGATAACAACTGGAGGCTCTGTGCTGATGGCGTTTTGCTCAGCAAGCACAAAGCCACTGTAAGAAAACTTCTCTTCCCACATTTCCAGTTCAGCATCAAAAGCTACATGCCATTTGTTGTGTCTTGAAAGGCCAAAATAGCTTGGGGACAGGCATGCAAACAGTATGACTTGACAGTCACCGCTGAGACTGGTCTACTTGGTCCAAGTCCAGCAGCTCGCCTCAGAATGACATGGAATCAACTGCCGGTTGTCTTCAAACGCTACGCAAAGAAGTATGCGAGCAACGCAAAGACTGTTTTTTTTTTTTTTTTGTCTATCCCCGTAAATATATCTGTTTTAAAATCTTCCACCACAGGGCGTATGACTACATTCCTGCTTACGTATTGGAAAGCTTCATCCGAAGCAGGGACAACAACAGTGTGGATCAGTTGTCATTCACAGTGGCCGCAACATCTGAAAGGACCTTGGATTTGATTTTCAAGACGCCAACAGTATGATCAGTGCAGCGGTTCTGATTCGTTTCAAAAGACGATTCCTCACAAGTGTACTCTTCTGTTTACAGCGCAGCATCTATAAACTGGCTTTGCGTCTCCCCCTTGCTTTGCCCTTGGATGAGATAACAGGACTCACGCCTTTTGATGACCTGGCTGATAAAGTCCGTTACTTGATCTCCAAGGCCGCAGCAGGTAGTATATAACAGTGCTTAAAAAAAACTTGCGCCGCGCAATACTTGTTCAGGTACCAAACTGTCTTCTATTCTTCTTCCATTCAGCCGAATGTAGTTCCATTCGAGACACCGTGACCACGTTCAACAACAGGAAGTACAAAAACGAGATGCCTCAGTATTGCTACCAAATTCTGGCTCAGGACTGCAGCGAGGAAATGAAGTTCATGGTCTTGTTGAGGAAGGATGATAACGTGCACAACCATATTAACGTTAAAATCGCTGACATGTAAGTTGAAATAAGAATAGGTTGCGCTAACTGAGCAATGATGATGCAAAAAAAAAAAAAACAAACCCAACCTTACTTTCACTTTCTTAGTGATATCGACCTGTACTTGAGGGACACTAATGTGGTTGTGAAGGTTAATGGAAGGGAGGTGCCTACCAGTCATCTGCCATATCAGCACCCAACAGGTTAGTCATCGTTATTACCGTGAACATTGTCACACTGCTGAAAGAACAAAAACTCTCCAATCCTTTCACTGCATTACCCATTGCAACAAGGGAATTCTCAATTGTGTTTCTAGCTAAAATTGAGATCAGACCAAACAAAGATGGCATCTCTGTCTACGCCCCGAGCCTGGGACTCCACGAAGTCTACTTTGACAAAAATTCTTGGAAGGTAGCTCATAGCTCATTTTAAGTTGATGATCACTAGATCTACTTTACAGATGACAAAAATGGTTGATTCCATTCTTTCCATGCAGATCAAAGTGGCGGACTGGATTAAGGGACAGACTTGTGGACTCTGCGGAAAGGCCGATGGTGAGATAAGACAGGAATACCGCACTTCCAACGGACGCGTGACGAAGAACGCCGTCAGCTTTGCTCATTCCTGGGTTCTGCCGGCTGAAAACTGCCGGGACACCACAGGTAACATGAAAGACTTGACAAGGACAGAATTTGGCCTGAATTCAAAATAAATCCCCTAAAACTAGAAGCGACAAGTGCAAGACGTGACTTTCACTTTTTTTTTTTTTTTTTGCAGAATGTCGCATGAAGGTCGAATCTGTGCAGCTGGAGAAGAAAACAAATGTCCAAGGTCAGGAGTCCAAATGTTTCTCTGTTGAGCCTGTACTGCGCTGCCTGCCCGGTTGCCTCCCTATCAAGACCACCGCCGTTACCGTTGGCTTCCATTGTCTGGCCAAAGGTGAGCGTTTAACAAAACATTCAGAAGCAGAAGAATTCAACAGTTTCTTATATTGCCTTGATCTCTTGGTATGTGCAGATGCCGCCGTTATTCCTCAGGACTTTTACAACTACAGCGTGGATATGAGGGAAACAACCCAAGCCCATCTCGCTTGCAGCTGCACACCTCAGTGCGCATAACAACAATTACTCTGTCACTTTGTCTCAAAGTTCTCAATGTAATGTTCAATAAAGTCGCATCGCAAAATGATTTTCATGCTGTGGAGTCATCAATTTTCATGAATTTTCACGAGTCAATAGGCTGTTTGTACGGCCTCGAGGTCCGGGGCACAGGCAAACAAGATTGATCATAAAAAACAAGGTACAAATATAAAGATACCCCAGAACAGTCTGAAAAATATACTTCCCATATTTTGAAAAAGAATACAAAGGCTATTAATGGCAACAGCAACAACTACTCTCGATCTAAGACTGGAATCAGGTGGCACTTAATTTTCCAAGTAACTTTCCAAGTACAATTATTTCATTGTTTTGAGTTATTCATTAGGCAGATGCATTTGAACATTAGATATGCAAATACGACCGGTAGTGTATTGACACTTGCACTTTTAAACAATTCACATGCACAACCAGTCCAACTACGAGTATTAAGTAATAATCTCAGGGCATCATTCTGGTTTATTTTCTGTAGGCCACACAACTACTAAGAACATTTAAGATGAATATAAATAAATTTCTCCTGTAAAATAACTTCTACTAATCAGTGACCATCTCTGGATGCAAAAAGCCAAATTCAACAAGTTGTTCATGACATAAGCCAGCAGTTTTATTATTTTCATCTTGTCCACTTTGCACAAATTCTAATAAGTTAACATGGTAGAAAAAAAGCTGACATTGGTTTGTTTAATCACCTCGTGATTGCTGCAACTCTTTCACCAGACCTGCTGAAATGTCACATCATCACTGGTCACCCTGACCATCCAGAACAATGACAACACAACAAACTCCCAGCGTGTCCTTGTGTGAAACATGTCAACAAAGTTGGGAAGAGGCCCCAAAAATGTCAAATAAATAACAGTACACAAAACACATGGTTCGGTTTATGTGGTCATAGTTTTTTGGTACACGTTGACTGTTATTCAAATCAATGATAGGTAGTCAGGTTGAAACTGAAACAAAAGACAGGCTGAGGTTAAACGTAGGTGAGATTCTGGCTGTGAGATCAGAGGAGATATTCGTTCGAATGTGCTTTTCATTTTTTTTTGGCAAACAAAGTTCTCTTTTACAAATGCCTAAAACAAATACAGTAACTATTCAATGTCATAACTGTACAGTGGAATCTTTTGTGCACTCTGAGCACAAAAAGCCTATCAAAAAAATTATACCAAAAGCCAAATTAGCCAAAAGTATTTCTTTTAACAAAGACTTTTTAAGTAAAATAAACTAATAAATAAATAAACTGAAGCGCCAAACATCTGAAAGCAAACCAAATCAGCACAACATTAATTTCCTCCCTTTGTGGTGACTTGAAGCAGCGAGTCTTGTTTTCTGTCGGGCATGGCCGCTTGATTTGGGAAAACAAAGACCGCAGCCTGGCTCATTGCCACGATTGTATACACTAAACACCCCAAAAGTTCACATCCAAATTTAAAAAGGTTTTGCATTGTTAGGGAATTAAATGACTGAGGTACAGAAAATAAATTGATCACACCTAAAATTTAGGGAAGATTTGAATGAGGCAAAATAGACTTGAAGCAGCGAGTCTTGTTTTCTGTCGGGCATGGCCGCTTGATTTGGGAAAACAAAGACCGCAGCCTGGCTCATTGCCACGATTGTATACACTAAACACCCCAAAAGTTCACATCCAAATTTAAAAAGGTTTTGCATTGTTAGGGAATTAAATGACTGAGGTACAGAAAATAAATTGATCACACCTAAAATTTAGGGAAGATTTGAATGAGGCAAAATGCTTTTTCTCTCAAATATATTGTTATAATCATTTGTTTCAGATGTACTGTAATTATTTTCTGTATAAAAATTTATTCGGTGTTCAAAAAGTCTTTTTTCAAACTTGAGTCTTGAAAAAGAAGGGGTCGTCTTATAATCAGGGCCGTCTTATATTCGGGCCAATACGGTACTCACCAAGTGCAAAACCAAGGTCCATAGGGGTCTACTGTATCGTTCACCGAATGGTTCCAAGTTTTACTCGCCCCTCCGGCCATCATATAAGAACAGGAAAGCTTGTTGGCCCGTGGCTGTTTGTTTTTTTTGAAATAGGCATATGGGGAAACACATTTCATACAGAAGTGTTTCAAAAATTTGTCTGCATTGAAATAGAAAAATTCACATTTCAGGTGTGAACACTCATCTCATAATCATCAGACAAAAAAAGGTTACTATCATATATGTCTACTGTGTCTCTAAACACAAAAAAAGAACATTCATTCGAATGACACCCATAACCAATGAGCCTTACATGGTTCTTTCTTGTACTGAACACCCCCAGGGCTCTAATATGATAGCCAAACAGTACAAGAGAAAACATTTTCCACAAAATCTCGATAGAAAACATCTGAATGAAAACAAAATGGCCACAACTGACCATATCATACAAAATACCTCCAACATCCATCCATCTTCAATTGCTTTTATCCTCCCTCGGGTCATGGGTCCCAAAAATCCTGAAGTCTCAATACTTTGGAATGCACTGTAGCTCAGTGCATGGACATCGGCCTTTATTCTCAGATAGAGACGTTGTTCCGTGTGAGCGTGAGGCTGCTGTGGTCCCCGCCGCTAATACACCATTTGTTAGATAGAGACGTTGTTCCGTGTGAGCGTGAGGCTGCTGTGGTCCCCGCCGCTAATCCACCATTTGTGCTGCGCTGCCAAGAAGCTGGCATCACCCGCATCTTCGCTCCTCTTTGGTTTGGTGGAGCTGAAAATCACAACATCACCCACATAGGGAAATTCTACAGCCAACATGAAAAATCACTACCATAACACAGGTAAAAACATGTACCTGTTTTCACAGATGATGCTTAATGTGTGAAGCAGGTCCGATGTGGAGGATGATACACTTGGTGCACATCCAGGGGTGGGAGAGGTGACGGCCCTTTCAGGAAGCGATGCTCTACTGGGCTCTTTTTCAGCTACTGCAGAGATCAAGAAACAATATTGACCCTCACTAGGAAATTGCTTTATTGATCCCCGTTGAGAAAGTGGGCAGAACTGTGGTGACAATCAAATTAAATAATCAATGTGTGATTGTGAGCCGGAATGGTTGCGTGCCCCGCGATTGGCAAGCAACCAGTTCAGGGGTGTCCCCCACCTGCTGCCCGAAGACAGCTGGGATGAACTCCAGAGGATGAGCTGATTAGAAAATGGATGATGTCTTATACTGCCCCCTGGTGGCCAAAGGGCGCGCACCAGAATGATCAGTACAATGTGCAATGAAAGAGGAAAAAAGTCACTCACGTGTCTGAAAGGCACAGTGCGACTGTGGTTTCTTGGAGTCGGCAAAAGGGCTCGAGTTTAAAAACTGGTGTTTGAGCCACGTGGCGCGTTCTTCCTCAAAGGTCTTTCTCTGAAAGTACAAGATTAATAAGCAGCGTGATCAGCACAATACAACATCAACATGCATTTTGGTGGGCCCTTGATGGCGTTGGATTTCACAATCACCTCTTCACTCAGTCGGATTGCTGCCTCTGTGAAGTTCCTCCTCTCCCTCTCAAAACTCTTCCTCTGGCCCTCGAGGGTCTTCCACTCGTCTCGGAGACAATCTTTCTCCTGGAACATGTGGCAATCGGCCAGCATGGCGGACGTCTCCTCTTCACACTGAGCGCTCAGTTTCTGCTACCAGAGGAAAAGGGGGGCAAAAAGGCCACAGGACATTTACAGACATTATTTGACAGTCCTGCAACACACTGACACAATGAAATATTGTTTCTTACCTGCAGGAGGTGTTGCTGTTTCTGAATATAGTCTTTACACTGCCGGGCCTCGAGTCTTAGTTTGCCCATTTCCTTGGATGTGTCTTGGGGAACATTCTCAGTGTCTTCGCTGTCATCTGTCGAAGTCAACGACACACAAAGATCTTCACTTGTGCTGCTTGATTTCTTTGACCTCTAGTTTAATTCATCTTGGAAAATTCCATTTCCAACTTTGAGGGAACAGTTCAGGCCAGAGAAGACTACTTTCTTGTCCAACCAAAATATTGTCCCTCCTAGATGAACTGAACCCCCAAAAATCCTCGAGAGAACAATCTCTTTAAGTTTCCAGTATGTATAAATCTAAGTGTATGTTTTAAAAATCACTGACCTCATTTACTGCCAACCCTCCTAGTTACAGTACATATTTGGCATCTATAGCTGGCTATGCTAGTGAATGGTTAATAAGCCTGAAAATGCCACTCTCAATGTATTCTAATGATTACCAAATATAATGAATCGCATTATAAATTCAGTTGAAAACGTGAAGAGTTTGACTACCTCGGCTATCCAGTCTCTCAACGTGGGTCTTCAATTTTTTCAGCTGACGCCGAACACCGTTGGTCAACTTCTCCCGAGCGTGAACACTAAACAGCTCTACACTCTCCTTACAAGAATCAATCCCTTCTTCTTCCTATCCGAGTCCACCTGGTACCCCCCAAAAAAACAAAATAAAAAAAACAAAACATCCTCTTTGATCAGTACAGCTTAGTGATCATTATACAGTTTATTGTGAGGATATATTCCCACTCACAATAAAGACAAGAAAAAAAAATTCATAATTATTTTTGCTCTCCCACACATGTTAAACACATAAACTCATCATAAACACACCCAAGCATAAGAAAATGCTCTTTTAAAACACATTGTAAACACATTTGAGCAAGCACGCAAAACTGCTAGGGTAAAACATATTTGGTGGGGTCAGACCAAAAGTCAAAATTTGGTCAGTTTCATAATTTTTTTCACCAATCGATGCTGTCGGTCAGTCCCCACACGGTGATGCAATTTTTTACAAACTCATGACCAATATACAGTAAGTGATGAAATCAGCTTGCTCTATTTGACGGTGCAAAGTTAAGAGCGCGTTTTTGGTTGTTTTCCTGAAAAGTGATGGTTTTGGAGTTGCGAGGTTTCTGACTGACATCAATGAAATATCAGTACTGTATGTATTGTAGTGTCTGTGTGTTAAAAACAGTATATGTCTTAAAAGGTGGGACCTGCTGGGGTAGCAGGTGATGTCAGTCAGTCTGCGTGCAAGTGTCTGGTTGTCTGTGACTCTCCTTTCCCACATCCGAGGGCATGACAGTACTTTGTACACGTATGCTGTAAAACTCTCGGAAAGCGCCATATATAGCGGGAGAACACTGTGTATCCTATCCGTTGATTGTGTTCTACCTACTTCTTGAGCACCGTTGTCCTGTTTGTCTCCGTTGACATTTGGCTTCCTGGAACTGAGAATGGCCACCATCTCTTTTTTCATCTGCTTCAAAACCTTTCTCAATTCAGCATTTTCTAGCAGTAGCTCCTTCTGCCTGCTCTCGTAGTCCCGAAGCAGAGTTTTGTACATCTCCCCCTCGTGCCTGCGGAGACAAACGCAAATCATCGAGTGCAAGCAATATGTTTGAACTGTTTGTTTTGGGTGAAAAAGACAACTTACTTTGCTACCGTCTTCTCAGTCTTCCAGAGGCTCCTCTTGCCGTCTGCCCTTCCAAGTTTATTTGACACGTCAATCGCTAAAAGCAACAGAAAGTCATCGTCAGCACATCATTAGTTCGTCGTACGATGATGGTGCAAATCAGGAAATCGAACCAAGTCTCTTCTCCTTTTTGTCGACCAGGAGCTGATTCAGTCTCTCTTTCAGTTTGTTTAATTCTCTCTCTTTTCTCTTCATTTCGTGATTGTACTGGCTAGCCCGGCTGGACACAATGTTCTGTAGCTTGTGAATCTGAAACAACAAAAATTGGAAGTGGTCAAGAACGCCGAGAAACTACAGTATGTACAATGCAAAACACATTTTGTAGTAGTCCATGTGTTTTGGCATGTGATTTTTTTTTTACAGGGCGTATGACTACATTCCTGCTTACGTATTGGAAAGCTTCATCCGAAGCAGGGACAACAACAGTGTGGATCAGTTGTCATTCACAGTGGCCGCAACATCTGAAAGGACCTTGGATTTGATTTTCAAGACGCCAACAGTATGATCAGTGCAGCGGTTCTGATTCGTTTCAAAAGACGATTCCTCACAAGTGTACTCTTCTGTTTACAGCGCAGCATCTATAAACTGGCTTTGCGTCTCCCCCTTGCTTTGCCCTTGGATGAGATAACAGGACTCACGCCTTTTGATGACCTGGCTGATAAAGTCCGTTACTTGATCTCCAAGGCCGCAGCAGGTAGTATATAACAGTGCTTAAAAAAAACTTGCGCCGCGCAATACTTGTTCAGGTACCAAACTGTCTTCTATTCTTCTTCCATTCAGCCGAATGTAGTTCCATTCGAGACACCGTGACCACGTTCAACAACAGGAAGTACAAAAACGAGATGCCTCAGTATTGCTACCAAATTCTGGCTCAGGACTGCAGCGAGGAAATGAAGTTCATGGTCTTGTTGAGGAAGGATGATAACGTGCACAACCATATTAACGTTAAAATCGCTGACATGTAAGTTGAAATAAGAATAGGTTGCGCTAACTGAGCAATGATGATGCAAAAAAAAAAAAACGTTCAACAACAGGAAGTACAAAAACGAGATGCCTCAGTATTGCTACCAAATTCTGGCTCAGGACTGCAGCGAGGAAATGAAGTTCATGGTCTTGTTGAGGAAGGATGATAACGTGCACAACCATATTAACGTTAAAATCGCTGACATGTAAGTTGAAATAAGAATAGGTTGCGCTAACTGAGCAATGATGATGCAAAAAAAAAAAAAACAAACCCAACCTTACTTTCACTTTCTTAGTGATATCGACCTGTACTTGAGGGACACTAATGTGGTTGTGAAGGTTAATGGAAGGGAGGTGCCTACCAGTCATCTGCCATATCAGCACCCAACAGGTTAGTCATCGTTATTACCGTGAACATTGTCACACTGCTGAAAGAACAAAAACTCTCCAATCCTTTCACTGCATTACCCATTGCAACAAGGGAATTCTCAATTGTGTTTCTAGCTAAAATTGAGATCAGACCAAACAAAGATGGCATCTCTGTCTACGCCCCGAGCCTGGGACTCCACGAAGTCTACTTTGACAAAAATTCTTGGAAGGTAGCTCATAGCTCATTTTAAGTTGATGATCACTAGATCTACTTTACAGATGACAAAAATGGTTGATTCCATTCTTTCCATGCAGATCAAAGTGGCGGACTGGATTAAGGGACAGACTTGTGGACTCTGCGGAAAGGCCGATGGTGAGATAAGACAGGAATACCGCACTTCCAACGGACGCGTGACGAAGAACGCCGTCAGCTTTGCTCATTCCTGGGTTCTGCCGGCTGAAAACTGCCGGGACACCACAGGTAACATGAAAGACTTGACAAGGACAGAATTTGGCCTGAATTCAAAATAAATCCCCTAAAAATAGAAGCGACAAGTGCAAGACGTGACTTTCACTTTTTTTTTTTTTTTTTTTTTT